AGGTTTGTACAATTTCATTAAATTCTTTGCAAAATAATTAATTTGTAAAATAGTTTATATCATATTTTAGAGACAATATTCTAATAGTAGTAAATAACCAGTATTCTAATTCTGCAAAATAAGTTGTTCAGTAGTGTGTCTCGCATGTTTATGTGCATGTAACTTAATCAATTGTGTCCAGGTACAAATTTCTTTGATTTCATTTAACTGCCAAATTATAAAATTCGTTAAGTAATAAGTATACGCTTTCTTTGTAGGAAGACCTATACATGTATTTTGAATTGTCAGATGATGAGATGTACTTTGATATTAATGTGGCTGTCAATAAAGGTAATTGTCTTAAACAATGTGGAAGAAAATAAACTTTGTGACTGGAAATGCTGATACAATATTACTGTTATTGTCTATGGAAGGTGGGAGTTTATGCGAGTTGCTGATTAAACTGATTTAAAAGTCATCATCATAAGTAATAAGCATACTATAAAAGGACCAAGAAAGTCATGTATACTATATGAAACCTTACCACTGCATATTTACTTATGTGATTATTATTCAGTAAATGCATTTAATTGAATTTAACACATGTTTTATTCCATATTCTTCATTTCAGACAAAGAAAGTAAAGACGAGAAACATGTACATGAACATGAAATACATGGTAGTAACAAGGAGCAGCAGGTGAATCCATCTGAAATACAGCCTAGTAACCAGGATCAACATGTTAATGATCAAGAAAACCAGGCTAATGACGAACGTGTGAATGAAAATGAAACATGTGCAAGTAACGTGGAGCAGCACATTAATGAATATTGAAAACAGGCTAATAATGAGGTATAATACATGAATGAAAATGAGATACGCTATTAATATGGAACAACACATAAATGAACATGAAATAAAGTCTAGTAACGAAGTACAACTTGTGGATGCAAATGAAAAACAGACTAGTAACAAGGGAGAATATGTAAAAGAACATGGAAATGAAATACAGGATCAAACGTGAATGACAATGAGATACGTACTAGTAACGATGGTCAACACAGGAACAAACATGAAAAGCAGATCAAAAACAAGGGACAACATTTGAATTAACATGAAATACAGGATAGCAGCAGCGGACAAAACGTAAATGAAATCAATGGAAAGCTGCACAGAGACGCCCAACATCATAAAAGTTCTTCTGATGAGGATATACCACTTCAAAGTTACTGGAATATAATTTTAAAGGAAAAGAAAGGAAGTCTGTTCGGCGAATGTTAATCGTTACAGATACTGAGTATTCTGATGATTGTAATCAGGACATATCATATGATCTACAAAAGGACATATTAAATTCTACAGATTCAGAGACAGAAGAGTTCCAAAAAATAAAACAGTGAAAAAGGAGACAGAAGAAAAGGAAACAAATTACTTGTTGCAGAAACAAATCGTGGAAGAAAAAAAAGCATCTACATTTAAATCTAAGTCCAAGAAATTATTGAACAAACGAAAGAAGGAAAGTCCCCTACAAGATCAATAAAACTTTTAAAAGAAAGAAGAAAAAAATCAAGAAACTTACAAACACATGATGAATTTAAAAAAAGCAGTGAAGTGTAGCAAGACAATTGCATCACTTAAGGCACGGTTAAATCGACTGCATGAGGCTAGATTAGACCATCTGTTAGCAGTAAATATAAGAAAACGAGTTTAAATTCCCGCAGAATGAAACTGTTTCTTTGCAGCTGTTGCTGAGAGTGTTAACAACAATTTATGTAAGAACGAAGATACTTTTCGAAATTCGCTATGTGATCACATTCAACAAAATAAGGACATATACTTATCTTTCTTGACAAGTATATCACAAAGAGAGAATCAAAGTGATGTTTTTGAAAGAGATATAAGCATTATGAGACGCAATGGTCACTGGGATGCAACTCTAGCCGATTGCATGTCTATAGCTGTTGCTTACTACTTAAATTGTGAAGTGCGGATATATTCAAGCTCGACTTCGACTCCATTTATTAATGTTAAGCCATCAAACTGGAAACAAGATGGACATATCCAGCAAATTGAAATAGCGTATATTGCATTCTGGAATAATGAGCATTATGATGCAACCAAACCAGTAATTATACAACCAGACAATACTGAACTTCCCCCTGATAATACACCAAGAGTTAATTCAATGGAACATTGTGGGAATGAAAACCATATTCCTGTTACAGCACACAAACGTGCAGACTATAACAGCCCTAAACAGACGCTAACAATCCGGAAAAGAAAATGAAATGAAAAAGAGTGGCAGTCACCTGTACGTAAAAGAAACAAACTGCAATGAAAATCTTGCAAATCAAAATCGGGTAAAACAGTGAAAGGAAAAGGAGTTAAACCAAGTGACTGCTCTAAATGAAGATTCAAATGGAACAGTAACTTCACAGAAACAGAGAGAAAAATATATTTGAAATGTATTATGCACTTCCAACTTATGAGAGGCTACGTTGTTTTATTTGCGTTGTTGTATCGAAAAGCGACCCGGTTAGAAGAACTAAAAGCAAAAGAAAAGTATCGTTGAAATTCAGTTTTTTCAAAAGGGAAGTAAGCATCCGTGTTTGCCAGAAGTTCTTTCTTAAAACTCTCGATATTGGTGAGAAGCTGATACGGTACACTCTTAAAAGAAAAACAAATGGTATATTTCAAGGAACAGATTTGAGGGGTAGGCACACACCAAGTACAAAAATCAATGATGCAAGAGTGAAATTCGTGTACGAACATATAAAAATTTTTTTACTACACTAGAAAAAGTTCTAAGAAACAATATGTAGCCCATGATAAAGCTTAAGTAGCAACTCTACAAGGATTGGTGTAGTTCAAAAGGATATGTCCCGGTAAAAGAATCGAAATATAAACAGATATAATGTGAGAATTCCTTTGCACGAAAGACATTATTCCCGAAGAGTTCCACTCATATATTGCTAGCTTACCAACAAACAAAAGCAACAAAGACTTCCTTCCTGAAAATTCAGAGTATGAAGATGAAGAATGTTAATTGGTGAACAATTTACAATAACTGCTAACAATGTAACAAACGAATTAAAAAGTATGTGTTTTATACATGTATAGAAATTTAAGTGAGAAAAAATCTCTGATTGATTTTATGTTTAAAAGTTGGGATGTATAAGGATGGCATCTTAAAACAGACAATCGTGATTATGTGACGATATGATGGCGGAACTGTAAAAGTTTTATTTTTGTAACCCTTGAAATCTTGTATGGATTTTACGCCTTTTATCATTTAATACTTGAACACTTTCAAACGGTTATATAATTTCATTCCATTGCTTATAGGACTGTTTATGCCATTTTAGTGATTGTGACCCATTATTCTAAATACATATATGAAGAACAAATATATTCAATGTACATTGTATTTTCAAAAGGAATAATTGTTTTCAATTTTATTGTGAATGTGCACGATTACAAAAAAAAGTAAGTGGTAAAAGGTCAGATGTGTCATATGTCACCCTTAGTATGTGTAAGTTTTGTGTATTTGTTAAGAATGAAAGGGTAGTATTTGTCAAATACTATCTTATATGAATGAGCAGTTAATTTATTAACTTAAAATCCCTCAGCGGCATAAGGTCATATTTGCCATATGTGACCTTTTCATTCTAATGTCTTTAGCAAAATGTAGGAGAAAAAGGGCGTATGTACAGTTTTGATGATATTGATTGATTGGATATTTTGTATGTTTGTGTATAAGAAAATAAAGATGATATAATAACATATAACATAAGAATAATTGGTTTTCTCTGAATTCAAGTTTTGATTCTTTTTAGACAGGTATAAACCTTTAAACTCTGTTCCTGAAAATTATGAAAAATGCACTTACGACCTTTTACTTCTTAGGTGACGAAATCATCCATTATAAACTAGTTTTAACATTTAATTAGCAGAAAGAAATATGGCAATGTACATGTATTGTTTTAGAATTCATGAGAATTTATAGACTAGACTAGGTGATGTAAGAGTCATAATATTAAAATGTAATATGTATCAAAATATCTTATACATAGTTACAACTGTGTCCCTTTCTTAATCTTCTATAATCTGTTAGGGAGAAGTTGACAATATGTTTGTTATTACTTGTGACGCTTTGTCCAGTTTTATGCAACATTAATAATGTAGAAAAAATGCCCAATTGTTATAATTTTATGATGAACATAAAAACTTCAATTTCTATTAAAAAATCTAGAAATTGTAGTTAACTTTAAGAAATTACATATAAATGAACATCTGGATGCCTTCCAGTTGGCAATTTGATAAAAGTTTTTTGTTGGATTTTACGTCAATGGCAACTTTCCAGTTTTACTGGTGGAGGAAGACCTCAGGTGCCCTATTGAGCATTTTTTTAGGCACAAACGTGCACCGGAGTAGAATCACCAACACAAGGTAAGCTAGCTGGATAGCTTTCTCATAAGAAAGAATCTGAAGTTGTTGGTTCATATTTTGTCAACGACCTTAGCCACTCAACTACAGACTATTAATTAAAGTATAGCACTTTTTACTTTTACAAATCATTCATTTAATTTTACTATCAAACTAAATAATAAATTTTGGCTTATGATAAAATGTATCCATACATCTCATTAAAATATATCCAGGATTTATCCGAACACATAAATTGTTCTTTTGCTAATTAACCCTAAACAATGCTAAACATGTACTGCTTTGAATTTATACTAGCTAGATTGAACAGATACTGGTCTCACAGCTATGTCTCATTGTCTTTGCTAGAAACTCAGACTGGACCAACTACTGTAAATTCATAAATTTTGCAGGCATGATATTTCATGGTTTTGTCAAAAAGGCCATTTATTACTAAGTATCGGATTTGTAATTTATAATTATTTCTTAATTAAAAGATAGTATATTTTTTGCAGAAAAAGTTTAAGCAGTTTTAAGAGTTTTTTTCTTGTTTTACAACCAAAAAGTGACAACAATGGATTCAAAAACATCACATATCATAAAGCAAATATTTCATTGATAATAAATTCAATAACAAAATAGATTTATTAAAACAGTACACTCATTAAATAATTAGTAAGTTTGGTCAAGTCACGCTCCCTGTCATGATTGGCTAAAACACTTCTTATCTTTTCCTCCTGATCATCATCAGGAAACATTATTCTTAATTCTTTAAACAATTCTTCAGTCTCCTCATCAGTTCTAGGATTTCCTTTTCCTTTTAGTGACCACTGACCTTTCTGTGTTGTACTTTTCCATTGACCTTTACCTTGTTTTGTTCCCTGTGTTGCATTATCTGCGTCATTCAAATGCTGACCTTCAGATTGTTTTTGAACAGGTGTTTTATTTCTTGCACCAACTGCCTGTTTTTGGAATGGTTGTTTATTTTCATTATAATTAAGACCCTGGTTTACAGCCTTGGCAAAATTTCCTCTACCTGCTAGAAAAGGTGGCTGCATTTGCTGCATATGACCTTGACCTAAATTAAATTGTCCTTGACCTTGCTGAATGTGTCCATGACCTACAGCTTGTGGGAATTGTTGCTGATAATTTTGTTGTGACTGAAATGGTTGATAATGCTGGTTCTGTTGCTGATTTGACCGATTCTGCTGTTGATTTTGATGATGTTGTTGTTGTAGTTGTTGCTGATGTGGAGTATTATAACCTTGCCGGTATCTGAAAATGAAAAGGAAAAACAATTTGACATTACTAAGTATTCTACTGATTTTTGTTTTTGTAGGATTTTACTTCACACCAACACTGTACAAGTGTCCCCTCACCTCTCAGCTTCCTCACATGAAAGAATCCAAAGTCCCTAATGGGATTTGAACCTACAGGAGTGAAGGGGAAGTGATTTGAAGAATAAAAAAAACCTTAACCACTTGGCCACAGAAACCCCTTATTCTAAAGTAAGTCTGTAACAAATTTACAAAGTATTCATACATCTTTTCCAAATGCTGAAGCATTATTATAAATTACATGTATGATGTTGTATCAAATACAAACCACTTTTGTAAATTGGCAAAACACAATAAGTTCAGAGAAAGAATGACAACATATATCTACCATATGACATTAATATACATTATATATAGGTGTTTGATGTTAAACATGTTACTATTTATAGAAATTATCAAAATGAGTGTGCCTTTATGTTCTACAAATATCTATATTGTTGAACATAGTTAAAAGTTTCTGTTTCTAGTTAAAAAGTTTCTGTCTCTAGTTTATTTTACAAAGTATGTAGACTACACATATTATGAATAATGCTCAGGTACATGTACAATTTATAAATACTTGAGCATTTCTTGTGGTATGAAGATTATCATATTTCACTTGTGCCTACCGCTACTCATGAAATATATATTTTCATACCACTCGATGAAAATAATCTTGCATTTATAGAAAAAAACTTTAATATCCTATATGTATATAATACTGCCTTTTATAATTTAGAAATACAGTATTTTTTTTCTTTTTAGAATAATTTTTGTTACTAGTAATTTGTTAAAGACATTTATTAAACTTGACAACATTTCTCTTATACATGTAGTTTGGGAATGTTTGCTAACATCAAATTTTAACAATAGGGAAATATTGGTGGAGTTAGCTCTATCTCCATTCATTATCAACAAGATTATATTTGCAGAATATAAATATGTTTGACTTAACATTTAATGCTATCTTTACCTTTGGAAAGGTGTCACTTTGGGAACTCTAAGGTAATCATCTAAACAGGGTCCCTCTCTTCCTAGTGGATCATTTGGTGGCTTAAATCTGTCCCTTACAAAACTGTACATGAGCAACCTGAATAATATATATAGATATATCAATCGTAATTGAATACTATTCATTTAGTATATAAATATAATCAGTAATGGAATAAACTCCGTTAAATTACGAATTGCTGTTTTCCACAAAGAGATTAGATGAATTTTCCTATACATTAGTCCACAGGAAGCAAGGGCCAATTTTGACCTCAGGGTCAAGATTAACATAAGACATGTTAAGTATATAAGTCTATGCAAACCAAGTGATTTGATTCCCAGAATGGGGGCCCGGGCCTATTTTATCCAAAGGGTCATGATTTATATAACTTTTGCAGAAGTTCACTAAGCAATAATACAAGCCAAAAGGCAAAGGTCTGGACATTGTTGTTTCACACAGTGAATAGAGAATACCATGCTAGTGTTTCATATTAAAGATTTATCAGGCAAAAAAAGGCTTAGAAAAAAAGAAGGGCGAGACAATTGTAAACCAGTACTTAGTGCAATTTCAAATCTGAAAACACATAATTACCAAAAAATCTGAAAACACATAATTACCAAAAAAACAACAACAAAAAAAAGGTATACATTTACATCAGAATAGAGCTTATGTACGCCACCTTTTTTTTGGCATTAATATCTGCTGAAGACCTCAGACTTATTTAATCTGTTGCAATGTGGGCTCAGGCTTTAAATGCTTCGGCAAATGTTAAATAATGAACAAAAAAAGTGCATTAATCGTCTATTGTTTGTCACCTAAGTTTTCTATACAGTAAACTCTCCCCATTATTATTACAAGTTAATCAGTGACATTTTCGTGTGTAATTAATCAAAATATCAAAACCTTTCTTCAATTAACTTTCTCCATGCTGCCTTTTCATACATGAGATCTCTATACTGGTCATTAGACACTATAATACCATCTTCAGCCTCGGCTAGCTCTAAAACAAACCTATAATAAACAGTAAAACAACAATAGTTATGACTTTTTACAATATTAATATAAAATACTGATAAACTTAGTAAATGTATCAGTTGCATTTTTACTTTTTTTAAATGGAAGAGCATATTCGATTTTTTAAAAATTTGCAAATTCATATCATAAATGTGTTATACAAAATATTCAAAAGTGCTGTAAAGTTGTTCTGACTCTTAGCGTTATACTATTGGCATGTCAATGAAGAAGTGTTCATTTTTACCATAAATAGTTCTTATTTTGGATATATGTAATTAATAGAATAAATTGTATTATGCGAGCCTCTGGCAAGCATAATATTGTTTTTTCAATGAGTTCAATAAATTTAGTATTGAATCTACACGAATATAATATTCTTTTTATCACATATATAAAATAAGAACAGTAAACTGTTAAAATGAGTAATTTTTCAATGACGCGCCTATAGTGTAACGCTAACATTAGCGCGCTTTAACGCTATGTTTCTATATAGCGCAAATGACGTCACGTCAAAGTGTTATTACACTAGTGTAATATCGTTTTTATTTGTTTGGGTCGTCAGACCAAACAAATAATGGTAGCGAAATTTCAGAGTCTAATGTTGTTAATTGCAAATGCCGAAAGTAGTCCACTTTTTTGAAGCGGTTACTTCCCTTTTGTATGTACACTAAAGCCGAAAAATTCAGGGGAGATCACTGCGTAAAGATGGTCAAAGACAGGCGCATCAATTTTCAAGCAAAGTAATTCCCGAATGGTCGAAGATTTCTAATATTGTTTTATTGTATTTTCTGATCGAAAATAACTAAATACAAAGTGGACATTCAATCTCTGACACAGAAGTTTACGACAAACCTAACAACAAGTAGTTCTCAAAACAGCTTTAAACTAGCGATTTAAAAGAAAGAAATATTTTATTTTGTTACAAGTATCCAACAAATTACAACGCATTTAAAGTTAAACAATAGCGTTGGCTTATAGAATTGTCAATAAATGCACTATCACAAATTACGCGGATGAATATGATTTTATCAATGAAAATACTATTTATTACCAAATACTACACAAACCGAGTAGTGGAATATATAGATTCTACATGTCGGACTGTTTGGGCGAGAGGATTTTCGCTAAAATATTTACTTCAATTTTAAACAACAGGTTTACGCTGAACTAAATACCTCGAAATTAATAAGGATTACAAACCCGAAATGCAATGGAAGTTCTAAATTTAGAATGACTTGATATTATTCAGACTTTCTGTGTATAACTTCTCCGTGGTACAGTGGTAACGCGCTCGCTTAGTGAGTGAGAGGTCTCGAGTTCGAATCCCAGTCGAGGAAACTTTTTTTTTGTTAAATTCTTTTTTAAGTGTTTTTGTTAAGGAAGTAGCCATGATATGCAAGGATAAAGTGTGGCTGTCGTAAAAAATGAACATAAATGATTTTTTGATGCAACTCTAGTTATGCAGAATTCCGTATGTATCAAACTCTGGTGCCTTGCAAAATGAATTATAATACATAAAAATAAACCTATACAGGAAAATGCATACAGATATACAGTACGATTTAGATTGCAAAGATCAGAAAATACCACAGAACTTGCAGCCCTTTGATTCTTTATAAATATAAATGCTTATAGTAAGCTCCAGGATTATTTACATCTGTGTTAAACAACAGTTAAAGTCGTTACAAGCCTTAATTTAGAATAATATGGTTTTCTTCAGCCCGTTCACATATAAATTCACCGTGGCTGAAGGGTTTTCGGGCTCGCTTAGGAAGCGAGAGGTCTGGAGTTCAAATCCCAGTAAAGGTAACTCATTTTTTTTTCAAATTGTTAAAGTCAAATAAACATTGGATTGAATATCAGTGTTGCAATTAGTCTTATAGCCAATTTACTACAATTAAAACGCTGGAAAGCATTGGTGGCACTATACATATAATCTCACAACCTGCACCTTTCTTACATTCTGAGACCCAAACAAATTCAGCGCCTTCTGTGCTTTGATTATTAAATGGCTTTATTACACTCCTGCGCCGCAGTTTATGTGATAAATAAATTTATTATAACTAATCTAATTACACATGCATTTCAGTTTATGCATCATTATTCTGATTGAAGATGATTTGACATAACTTAAAAATCAGTAATCTAGCCAAATTTCTATTTCTTGAAGAAATAAAAGGAAGAACGATTATCAATTTAGATAGTTAAAGATGATAATATTAAATTTTAAAAGTAAAAAGAAAAAAAGCTGTCAAAGATAGCATTACTAATCATTAAAATTATTTATATCCTTTATGATAAATTCACAAATCATGCCATTAAATGATAATTACAATTCAAATAATAATTGAAGAATATCTTTAATACAAATGTAACATTAGAAAATCAAATATGTTTTTATGTATAAGATATAGGGAAAGAGAATATTGTAGGTATATGTGCCAGTATGTGGACAAATTATCTGATAATAGAGTGCTAAATTTTAAACCTTTATTGTTGACATGTTTTCTACATAAATAATTACTGACTGATAATTAAATCACTGTGACACATTTGATGAACTGTTTACTTAAATGATATGCTGGCAAAAAACATTAAAATAACCTAGTGAGAAAATGTATGTAATTCAATAAGTAAACACTATACTTGCCTGTCATCATAGGCAACCACAAGTTTCCTGCCAATTTTACGAGAAGGTGTAAACACTAATATATCTTCTTGTTTTAGTTCATATAGAATGTTCTGATCTAGAATCATGTTGGTATCACTCGGCTGGTACTGTCTCCATTGAGGAACAAAAACTGTTATATTTTTATGTCCCCTTTGACGGAAATAATCCACACAAATCTTTATACCTTTACATGAGAAATGTTTTCCATTGCCATGGCTGTAAAGAAAAAAATACAATGTATTGTCAATACAAGATTGTCCAAAAAATTACAAGACAATGCAGCGGTCCCCTTTCCAGTTTTTTGATTCCCTATTGCAATCTATATAGATGTGGAAATAAGATTTTATCTCAATTTTTCAAAAGTTGAGGTATATCTAGGAAAAAATCACTCCTGCTGTGCAATTTTATTTTTAAGGAAATGAAAATAATTTTTACAAAAAAGATTATCATCAAAAAAAAATATAGCATGATCTAAATTATGCATTTGATTTTATTGTTTTTACTATTTCCACAACCACATCAACATTCATCTTTGATACATATATTTTGGTCCTGAGACTATCTGCAAACTGTATCATCAACCTTGCATTTGTACTCTTTAAGTTAAAGCAGACTCTAAATTTTTTTGTACAGACAGACGTCCTTCAGGGATAGACATTTTGGGGTTGTTCCTTTGTTTATCAGGCCAATTATTTAGTATTTGTACAGAATGACACTCAATGTCAAGTAGTAAAATACCATAACCCCATAGTGTATCAGACTGACAGACGGATGGAGAGATGGATACCAAGTATTAAGAACCAAGCTTTTATACTTAGTTATTACAGGATCCAGATTTGTTCAATTATTATTGTTGGTTTTCATCTTTTCTGTAAGCATGGAAACCACAATGAAAAATAATGATGTGCATTATTTCCAAGTATCAACAACTTAACTTTTGTACTTTTAATCTGGATCCAGGTATCTTCAGACTGTTGGAATGACAGACAGATGCAGGGTTAACTATAATCCCATTTTGGTAGGTAGAGGATTAATAGACTCAAGTACCATGTATGGAATAAAAAGGTATGCTAATTCAGTATGTAGTACTATGTACACTTAATTCCATTTAAAGTTAGGAAAATCTGAAAATTTTACAAGACAAAAATTACAAATGTAACTTCACTTACGTCATTGCAACATTCGACCCATCAATGACAATATATCTTAAGTCCTCCTCAACTGGACCACCTTGAGCTTGTCCAGCCATCTTGTTGAAATCTCCTCCTGTTGTATTTACTGGTGTCACAATCTGCATCGGCTTTTTACCTCTGCCTACAGGCTCTACCCATTGTGTCCCACTTTTAAAGCCAGGGTTTGGAGATCTCTGTCTTACATTATTGTTATTTCCCGAGATTAGTTGAGGCTGCTGCTGCTGCTGCTGTGGGTTTTCTGCCTTACGTTTTGGTGTTGTCTGAAATGGTTCATCAGCTGATTGCCCAACACTGGCACTTGTTGATCCCTGATCTTTACTCCAAACCCTTAAAACACAAGTCTGATCATCATTCTTAGATGCTTTATCATTTTCATTAGTGTCTAAGCGGAATTGTTTATCATGCATGCCTTCCCTTTCTTGTTTATTTTCAACACATTGTTGCTGTTGCTGCTGCTGCTGCTTCTTTTTCTTTCCTCTATTTTTTCCTCTTTTATTTTGTTTTTTACCAGTTTGTTCTTGTGTAGTTTCATTATTAGCATCATTTCTTTGTTGACTTTCAAAATTTTGTCGCAACAACTTTTGTCGTTCAGCATTCCTCTTCTTAAGTTCATCAACAGAGCAATTTTCATCTTCAGTAAAGAAATCCTGGAACAATCTTTCCTTATACCCATCTGGTAAGGAGGTTTGACCAGGTGCTTTAGAAAGTCTTCTACTATCATTTGTATTGCTTTCCTTAGATATTTTCCCTTTATCTTTAACATTTAGAGTTTCATCAACCACAATTCTTTCATCAGTAACAAGATTTACAGTTTCTGTTTCTAGAATGATGACATCATCATCGCTGTCATTCTCTTCCTGGTTCTCTTCCTGGTTTTGAAGTGAATTTAACATATCAAGAAAATCAGATGGCCTGGTCTTTTCATGAACAAAGCATAAAGCTTTATCTACTTCTGCCTCTTTAAAACCTACTGACATACCAAAACTACGCAAGTACTCTTGTTGCTTTGTTAAAAGTGTGGAAACACTTGGATTTGACACAGTTAATTCTGTCACTTTTTCAGCTATTGTTGATATACCAGGTGATGTTTGTACTGTAGTTTTCTCATCAACTTCTATTGGTTTCTCATCACCTTCATAAAACATCATTATGTTAGAACGTTTAAAATTATCAGTATCACCACTTTCCTTCGTGCCATCTGCAAAAAGTAATTCATCATCAATGTCATCTTGATCATCATCTTGTAGACAATTAACAAGTACTCGTTTTACAGCTTGTGGAACTTTACGATAATCCTCAGCCGAGCAAAATACCGTCGCTATTGGCTGAAAGTGCTCTCTCTAATACTGTTGAAAGTCTGGATGATGCATTCATGGGTATTAGGGGAGATCATTATCATACCATCATGTTCATCATGATCATCATCTTCAACATTACATTGATCTTTACCAACCAATGCTGTCCCTGCTAATTCTTCAATCTGTGACAATGCAAGAGTTACTGCTAACTCTGTCCCTGAAATTTCAAACTGAGCAATTTTCTTCAATGGTCTTATAAAAGCATTGGTAGTTTTTTCTATGTATTCTAAAGTTGTTGGGTCAGTTAACTCGGAGCATGAGGACTTGTCAAACTGGACTTGCTTCTTCTCTAATGGATTACACATTGCGGTGATGTAGCTCTGAAAATAGTGGATAATATCTTTAAGATGAATTTATCTTACATTAATTAATTACAAAACTGGTTACATGTGTCTCAGAATAACATCTTTCCTTGCTACTTAAATGTATTATGTTTCCATGACTCTGTTTGGGTTTTTAAGTCCTTTAAACATAGTAAAGATCATATGATTATGGATATTAAAATTATTAATAAAAAGTAACTTAAAAGACAAATTAATATCTTATATTTAAATGTGATTGAAAATAAGAAATTCACTAGCCCATATCTTAATCATCTTGGCCTTTATTACAAAAACCCAATATAAACAACAAACAGCGATATGCACAACTAGGGATGGTATTAATCTCTTTTGTAAAGTTTCATTTGAATCCCACCTACACTTTGACCTGTGAAAGCCGGACAAGATTTTAAG